TCTAATTTAATTGGTTTTAGGAATTGTGTCGCTGCCTTGTTGCATGTCTGTACCCGAAATGGTATTTATCTTCTGGAGAATCATGCTTTGTCAGAAGTCACGTTGCAAGGAATGCGTGGGAGAACAAATGCCTTCTCAATCCCCCTATCCCTAAAACCCCAGCCACAGGACAGCAAGAGAAGGCAAGTGTTAAAATACGTTTTCCAGAAAGGCTAAAAGGACAATGCAAACAGATCGACCTCTCTTCCGTTACTGGGAACATCATGGAGAAGCTGGAGTCAAATTAGTGAAGGGCTACCGAGGAGGTCAGGGGCTGGAGCACTTGCGCTTTCAGAAGAGCCTGAGGGGCTGGGCTGCAGACTTCTTGATGTCCCTTCCGACCCGAGTGGTTGGGAGTCTGTAAGCAAGAGAGCACTGTGGCAGTTATTCCAATGAGTTTCCTAGAGGCAAGTACCTAGAATGCCTAAAGATGAGGCTTCTTCTGGCTATCGATACGTTTGAGTTTGACTAGTCCACTGACTGGGGAATGAGCAAACCAGATTGTATTTCTTCCTCATCCCAAATGCGAGTAGTTCAAAAGATCAAGCAGAAATTAATGTAGTTAAATATCCTTGGGACTCATCCAGGGAGATGCCTGCTACCGGATATTTCACTTTCCCTGTGCCCTCCTCCACCCAACTGTCAGGGTCTCCTTGGCCCAGCCAGATCCCTCTTTGCCATCTTTCTCAACCAGGTTGTTAAACATCAGGTTCTGAAAAAGTGATGCTCTTCCTCTGAAAGTGAAGGTCAGATGCGTGCCAGTTTGTGATCTTTCTGCGTGTCTTGTTAGGTTAAGAGGCTAATGTAGTTTCCTCCCTGGAAATTTCTTTTTTTTTTTTTTTTTTCTTCTGTGAATGCGTTGTTTGCTTGCTCCAAAACATTAAATGCACTAATTGTCTTTTATGAAACAATAAATTATGGAATCCTCAAACCTCGAAAGGAGTTTGGAAAGGATGCGATAATTGCTGACTGCACCAAACAGTATGGCTATTGAGTGGAGTTACCTGACATCGAATTTTAGGGAATGACTGGAGCTCTGAACTGTTGAGGCTTTGTCTGCTGGGGTCTGGCATGATTGAAAGAAGCCTTACAAAACAAAATTGGGCTCACTGAAATGTAACAGCTATGTTGGCATGAAAGAAAGGCACGGTGAAAATACTGCTTGTGTGCTGGGACTGCAGTGTGACTTCAGTGGATGGGCAGTTGAGGTTTGTGACTTGAAGACTCCCAACCCCTTTTAAAAAATGAAACTGAATTTGATAGTTCTCTTCTTGCTTGATGTGTGGTGTGTTTGAGTTAATAAATCATGTAAAGAAATACTTCAGAATGTTCATCACCTCTCAAGGCTGAGCTAAAGAAGAAAAAAATGGTGACATTACAACAGGTTAATTGATTGAATATGCATCTTGAGAAAGTGTGTCCTGATAACAGTGGCGAGCAGTCATACAGGTGACAATGATCTGCCTTGAGAACGCAGCAGTTCTTTTTTCTGAGAACACTTGGAAGGAAACAGAACATCTTTTTTTATTCTGGTTCCTGAAAGTGTTGTCCAGGAAGCCAGAAAACTGTGACATTTCAGCTCATAAAACTGAAATTAGGAGAGAGAGTGTGTCTCGAGTGTGGTTATCTTGTATGTGTGAAAATAGCTGCTCAAAGAATGCAAAATTCTCAAATTGGAAAAAGAGCCTTTTGGAAAGAATGGGGGTGTTGTAGCTGCCTAGTGCTTTTCCATCCTTTCCGAACGAATTCTTATCTCTGGTTTTGGACTCTTTGCTCTTAAGAGGACGTTTGGTTTTATGGTTAACAGAGGTAACGAAGGATGTAAGATTTGGAATTGGCAGTGCTATGTTAAGAGGCGAATTGCTACAAGGTTGGTCTCCGCAGCGTCGGTATTTTTTGAATGTTGGTGCAGATAACTGTATGTAAAGGTAAAGGCATCTCTTGGATTTTAGAATCTTGCTAACTGCCATTGACTTTTAAAAACCAGTTGAAGCACTGAGAATGGGATCGGTTGTGTTCTTCGCGTGAGGATGGACAGACTGAGGTTACTTTTCATCTAGCTACCGGTAGGAATAGGCCACATACGTATTATGGCAGATTTTTATATGTATGTAAACATATTTATTTTGTAACTGCCAAAACAGTCTCTTATCTTTATGGATTTGTTGCAGACATGCTCAGGTAGACTTTTGTTTTCTGTTGTATTTCACAACAGTTGTAAAATATGCCTTGTGTTGATGTTTTTAACGTATGTGACTGATTAAAATATAAAAGCAGAAAGATTAATCGTTGCCTGAACATTTGAATACTCAGTGAATTTTTACACAGCCACTGTGCTAAGCTGTGTACCTGCTTTTTATTTTCCTGCTGGCAGAGCTGTAAACTTTCCATGCCTAACCTTAATGTATAGCCTTCTTACAGGAGCTTAAGAGTGGTAGGTTATTTCAGGTTTTAAGAGGCAACATTCCCAAATGCTTTCTTCACTCTTTTCGTAAACTGCAAAAACATTTCCAGTCCTTGGCTCTGACAAGACTGTTAAGAGTCCAGCCAGCCAAACAAAAGAAAAAAGAGCACTTTTAATCCAGCATCCCATTTTTAAATACAACTGGAAAAAACTACTACTATTTTTTAAATTTTTTTTTTAAGTCACAGCAGCATCTTTCCCCCTCCAGATCTGGTCAGTTCTCCTCTGCCCTGGCCCTGTGTCTCCACACAGACACACACACAGAGAAATATGTATCTTTTGTTCATGAAACATTAACAATTTTGGTGCAGAACCTTGAAAAAACACCGTTCTGTAGGATTTACAAAAGTTGTCTGATCAAGCCCTCTAACCCTTGAACTTCCCAGCGATGATGACATGACGAGAGCGGTTTAACGAAGGTGAAACCCCAGCCCTGAACTCTGTGCCACCCTCCTGTGTGTCATGCAAGCATTGCAATGGCTTTGGTTGTGCTCCGGCTGCAGCCGCTGCCATCTGTGCAGGGAGGGTGGAAAATACTGCAGTCTGGGGAGAAGGAACGTCGAACCAAAATACCCAGGAA